TGCTGAAGGTAAGAATCATCATATAAAATGTTTTAAAACCAATATATATATATATATAGCGCATGTATGAGTGTGTGTATGAACTGAGGCTTTACCTTTTAAGGGACCAAAAATTAATTAACTTGAAATTGAATTTTGGCTTAAATCAAATCAAAGTTAAATCAAACTCAGATTACAGTTAATGGGCCTTGTTAGGCTCGAATTGAGATCATATCGAGCCAACATATTAGAAGATTTGGCTTTGCTTGAGATCAAATTGAACGTTTTTGAGCTATTTTTGAGTAAAGGTTAGATTAACTTGAGATTAAATCAATAATAGATCAAGAATTGAAACACACATTTGTGTGTTAAAATAAGTCACACTATGGCACACTTTGTGTCGTGAATATTATACTCCCTTATGCCTGATACGCCTTTTATGCTATCCGGACTAGTGGATTTGCTGAAGAAAACCTGGCTTTTTCCGCTTTGAACGGTTTGCCGTTTTCTCTTTTTCCACCAATAAAATTTTGAGATGATTGCATACATAGCATCTTAAACATTGCTATCTAGAAAGATCACCCTGACCAATGTATTTATGTGTGACACGATCAAATCATTAAAAATTTGATAAAGATAAAAAATATGGCGGGGTTTTATTGTGAATTTTAATATTTGAGTGAGAATTTAAAAAAAAACAGTCACCAGTTGTAAATAACAATGTCTCAAGTGCTATGTATGTATGTTTTTTTTTTTTTTTTTTTTTTTTTTTTTTTTTTTGGGCAAATCTTCTGATTGTTCTTAAAATACTACTATAAGAATAAAGTTTTATTGTTTTTTAGAGGATTTACATACATACCACTTAATTCCTATGTATTTGCATATCTAACACCTAAACTTTAAATTTTACGTACTCATACGCCGCCATATGCTTGAAAGAGTTTGTTTCACTTAATCCTATGTATTTGCATACCACTTATTCCTATGAAACATCTGAGTGGTATAAATATAAAATGTAATAGTTTTGGAGTTTGATATGAAAATATGTAAGAATTGGGTGGTATGTATGCATGTACATTATAAGATGAGACCGTTAATTATATTTGCTAAGGCGGTGTTATCAGCGCTCCATCTAAACCACAGTTTATAAAACCAAAGGCATAACGTCTTTTCAACATTTCTCTCTTACAGTGAAGCCGAAGCCCTTCACTGGTCCAGACGTAGGACCAGCAACAGAGCAGCCAACTTTAGCCCTACCTCCAGCTCCGTTTAAGCCTCCGGAAAAATCTTCTCGGGTTAATAAGAACAAATTCACTTTAGGCAAATTGTTTAATTTTTCTGCATAATGAATAAGTACCTTGCTAATAAAGTACGGCATTTGTCATCTTTACCATCTCTGCCAATTTTCAGACAATGCAGTGGCATGGTGGGTTGATGCTTTGCCTTGTCAGTTTAAGCCCCTGTAACACTTGTGAAATGAATAAAACTTTTGATTTTGATTTTTTATTTTTTTTTATATTTTTTTACTTGAAATAAAACATTTTTCAGAACAGAAAAATAATAAAAGGGAAATTTAGGTGCATACCCCACAATTCTTATGTATTTACATATCTAATACCTAAAGTTTGTTATTTATATTTACGGCTTTGGTGTCATAAACTTATGCATTTATGCATGAACATGTGAATGAAAATATGAATTTCATTTTTAAAAGAATATTAATGTCTTTGGTGTCATAAACTTATGCATGAGCATGTGTACGAAAATATGAATTTCATTTTTAAAAGAATATTAATGGTGGTATTTTTTATGTATGTAAGTGCTCCTAATTACTAATAAATAACAGAATAGGAATTGGGTGTCATGTATGTAAATGCCCCTAATTACTAATAAATGGCAGAATAGTCCAATGAAATGACTTGGACAACAATTACTTATCAATCTACTGGAATGTGATACTCAAACATTACACATTGATCTTGACCAAGAGTTTGGAATCCCTTGTTTAGTGCTCTCCATCATAGTGCAATTTTTTATCCTCTCAATGACCACCTTTTTAAATTATAATCTAATGGAAACTTATATAAATACCACATAATTCTTATGTATTTAAATTTAATCGTAAAATAAGTCTATAATGTCTGAGGATAGCTCTTCATGATTTTGGCTTACCTAAATATAACTATAGTGTAAATCTATTGTGTGTGGAGAAGATGGGTAAAGCTATGTAAATTAATAGGTGATGGAGTTTATTTCTTGGATGTTTCAGAGGATTCATAGAACCTTTAGAATTTCAATAGTATTCCTAAATGATCTTCATAAGTGTTTAATAAAAATTTTTAAGAAACACAATTTAACCGATATCTTAAATACTTCTCATTGTTATGAACATTTAGAAGGTAGATGTTTTAATTTGCCATAATTAAATTTAATTTGATGATGTTGCCCATAAGTTGATTTAGGGGACAAATCTGACACAAGCTGACCCAATTGACCATTTGATGATTCCAACAATTGGCCCAATAAAAATTCTAATCATTGGCCGAATTAAAATAATTTGATGATGTTGCCCATAAGATTGACTGGTCGGCCTGCAAGCTGCAGTGCTACTTGTTGCACGTGGAAGGCCTATGGAGTGCCAAAGATGGCTTATCTGGTGGTACGGTTGATGGTGCGCGATGACAGCCTTCAACAATGCACAATGCAGTAGATGGTTGCGATAATCATCATAATTTATTATATATTGAAAAATCATTCATATATCATAAATTTTAAATGCACTCAAAATAAATTATCAATTACATTTTAAATTGGTTTTTCAACAAACTAAATATCTAAAATCAAACATCCAAGATGTCAAAACCTCTTTCATTTCACCCCCATTTTTTAACAAAGCAATAAACCCGGAAAATTTTTTTTATATCAATTAGATGTTCAAGAAATTAAAAATTATTAAATTTTGATCAAGGATAAGATATTACAACCTTTGCTCACAAAAAGAAAAAAAAAAGTGATGCTTTGTTTTTGGTGCTCGGCACCGATTTTCCTTTTTATGTTTAATTAGTTGTATTTTGGGTACTGCATGTAAAGATGCATGCAAATGCAATGTCTGATATACACCGTAGATTAATATGATCACAATTTTTTTTTTATAAAAAAAAAATTAAAGTGAGGCCACATCTTACTGTGATTCCCTTCCGCATTAAACCAGGCGTCGCATTGTCTTCTTCATATTGCTTGTGCCAGCTCCGCGCTCGAGGATCCTTCAAACACCACGGTGAAGCGCATTTTTCTATACTGTTCTTAATTTTTTTCTGCAAGCAACATGGAAGGGCAAACAACCTCAATTGAGCCATGGGGTTTAGAAGAAGGAATTCCCTTTTGCCAGAAAAAATGATGGCATACTCCGAAAGATTGTATTGATCTATAATGGGGGCTTCAAGTCCCTTTCTGCAAAGTATTCAACATCAAACGCTCATGAATGCTGTGATTCTAATGAACTTTCAAAGGTATGTTAATATCTTCTTTTTATTTTGGCTCTCGGAGAGAAGTGACTTTGAACAAACAGTCAGTTTTACTTATTGCATATCTGTATTTATTGAAAGAATCTACAGAAAATGCTCGTTGAATCTACTAAATCTTCAAACGTAATAAAGAATGCTGATTTTAGAGAAGGAATGAATTTCTGGACGAGAAACTCTGATAGATGTCAAGCCGAAGTTGTTTCTTCAGGCGATGATAACTATGCTATTGTGAGCGGTGGAGGAGAGTGTTGGCCGAGCATAGAGCAGAATATAACCGAACAAGTTTATGTGGGTTCCATATTTGAAGTTTCAGCTGATGTCTCAGCTAAGGGCGGTGGCGGTGAGAAATTTGAGATGTATGCTTGTTTTAAGATCGAGAACTTGGAGTCTTTTTCCTTTCTTCGAGTTGGAAGGTATTAGTAGTTCATGGATGTTTCATCATAATCGTAATTATCATTCTGTTCTATTTTCATTACTTTGTTGCTTCCTTCTAAATCATTTTAAATTGTATTTGTTGAAATTTGCTAGATGCGTATTAATAGTTAGTTTTTTAGTGTTTGCACGAAAATCTAACAAGTATAATTGATCAGCGGAATGTTGGGGGCGGCATGGTGATTATTTAATGTTTTTATGTTGCATGAAAATTTAACACATATTTAAGTAATTAAAGATAAATGAACAGGAGAATACATTTCAATTTATATGTGAATAACTCAAGTAATAGGAAAAAAATGATATATAGGGGTAGTTCAACAAAAATAGCTAGGATGTTTGAATACTCAATAGCACGACATGAATATGGAGGCGATAGCATGCCATGAATACTCAATACGATGGTTGTAGCATTAGTTTGTCGTAGAGGCCGCTGTTAAATGCCACCGTAATAGTTGATTATGTCGGTAATAAATGGTTACTTTCTTTCATTTCACCCCCATTTTTTAACAAAGCAATAAACCCGGGAAATTTTTTTTTTATCAATTAGATGTTCAAGAAATTAAAAATTATTAAATTTTGATCAAGGATAAGATATTACAACCTTTGCTCACAAAAAGAAAAAAAAAAGTGATGCTTTGTTTTTGGTGCTCGGCACCGATTTTCCTTTTTATGTTTAATTAGTTGTATTTTGGGTACTGCATGTAAAGATGCATGCAAATGCAATGTCTGATATACACCGTAGATTAATATGATCACAATTTTTTTTTTATAAAAAAAAAATTAAAGTGAGGCCACATCTTACTGTGATTCCCTTCCGCATTAAACCAGGCGTCGCATTGTCTTCTTCATATTGCTTGTGCCAGCTCCGCGCTCGAGGATCCTTCAAACACCACGGTGAAGCGCATTTTTCTATACTGTTCTTAATTTTTTTCTGCAAGCAACATGGAAGGGCAAACAACCTCAATTGAGCCATGGGGTTTAGAAGAAGGAATTCCCTTTTGCCAGAAAAAATGATGGCATACTCCGAAAGATTGTATTGATCTATAATGGGGGCTTCAAGTCCCTTTCTGCAAAGTATTCAACATCAAACGCTCATGAATGCTGTGATTCTAATGAACTTTCAAAGGTATGTTAATATCTTCTTTTTATTTTGGCTCTCGGAGAGAAGTGACTTTGAACAAACAGTCAGTTTTACTTATTGCATATCTGTATTTATTGAAAGAATCTACAGAAAATGCTCGTTGAATCTACTAAATCTTCAAACGTAATAAAGAATGCTGATTTTAGAGAAGGAATGAATTTCTGGACGAGAAACTCTGATAGATGTCAAGCCGAAGTTGTTTCTTCAGGCGATGATAACTATGCTATTGTGAGCGGTGGAGGAGAGTGTTGGCCGAGCATAGAGCAGAATATAACCGAACAAGTTTATGTGGGTTCCATATTTGAAGTTTCAGCTGATGTCTCAGCTAAGGGCGCTGGCGGTGAGAAATTTGAGATGTATGCTTGTTTTAAGATCGAGAACTTGGAGTCTTTTTCCTTTCTTCGAGTTGGAAGGTATTAGTAGTTCATGGATGTTTCATCATAATCGTAATTATCATTCTGTTCTATTTTCATTACTTTGTTGCTTCCTTCTAAATCATTTTAAATTGTATTTGTTGAAATTTGCTAGATGCGTATTAATAGTTAGTTTTTTAGTGTTTGCACGAAAATCTAACAAGTATAATTGATCAGCGGAATGTTGGGGGCGGCATGGTGATTATTTAATGTTTTTATGTTGCATGAAAATTTAACACATACTTAAGTAATTAAAGAGAAATAAGCATGAGAATACATTTCAATTTATATTTGAATAACTCAAGTAATAGGAAAAAAATGATATATAGGGGTAGTTCAACAAAAATAGCTACAATGTTTGAATACTCAATAGCATGCCATGAATACTCAATACGATGGTTGTAACGTTAGTTTGTCGTAGAGGCTGCTGTTAAATGCCACTGTAATAGTTGATTATGTCGGTAATAAATGGTTACTTTGGAAGCATCGACTGACAATAAATGATGTTGTAAAGAGTTGTAGGAGCCGTGAGTTTGAGCCTACTCGAGCTGAGTATATCATAATTTGGACTTGGCTTTATATATTTAAAAGTTGTTTATATTCGGCTTGAGCTTATGTCGAGTTTTCATATATCCTTCAAGCTCGACTTGATTAAAATTTTAAATGTTTGAACATGATTTATACTTGATTTGTTTATGACAAGTAAATGAGTATTTAAAAGAGCTCATAAACAAGCTAAAAATTCAAACGAGTATATAGATTTTCTTACAAAAAAAATTAATTAATAAATTTAAAAATTTGATTGCAACAATTAAGTTATTGATTATAAACTTTAAACCCTAAGTTATCTTAATTTTCATATCTCATCCATTGTCAAATCTATTACTTAGAGGCTATTTAGTGCAATAATCTATGTACCACTTGAGCATGATTTAATCTAAATCCTACCAAACAATTAAAAATTATGGCAAATTTAAAATCAACAAAAAACTTAATATTGAGTATTTATATATCATATATGATATAATCTATCATCAAACTATCAACAAATGAGTTAACATTCAAGTCATTAAACTTTATGTAAATAATATATCATATATGATACAAGGTATCATCAAACTTAATATTAAGTATTTAATAAGTTAATTGTTAAACTACATGCAAGTTTGTTCGTGAACATAAAGAATTAGTTCTACTATGTTTATGTTTAGCTCATTTAAGCTTCAAAATTTTAAAATTTATTCAAGCTTGTTTATTTACTAATTTGAACGAACATGATCAAGTCTTAGTCGAGTCGAGTTTAGGTTATTCATCGAGTGCATTGGTTAATTTACAACCCTAACCGTGAGCCATGTAGATTATAATTGGTCATGTAGGTCGTAGTAATAAATTACAATGAAGTTTGTATGCCACAAAAATTGGATTTGAAAGCCACATGACCTGGTGAATATGTAGATCGTAGTGGCGAGTTGTGATGACATTCTCAGGCCATGAGGAGTAGGGAGTTGCTCTAGTTGTGAGCCATGTAGGTCTTAGTTGTATAGGTACATTGTAATGACATCTATAGACTGCAGGGATAGGAGTTAGAATTTTCACGAGCTACGAATCATTAGAGGCTATGGTCGAGAATTGCATGAGCAGGTCTTAGTGGTTAGATGTGAGAGAGAATCTCAAAAGTTTGGAGAAGCTCATTATTTTTTTAGTACGACATTGATAGGTCGTTGTTGTGGGGTGCATTGTTGCACTGTATTCAGGAAATATTATTACACCATTTTTCAGGATGCATCGTTACACCATCTTCAAGATGGGTGGTTGCACCGTATGAGGGATATATCGTTGCACTGTATTCAAGGTGTGTTTTTGCACTATATATAGAGTGTGTCGTTGTACTGTATGCATGATATGTTATTACGCTGTCATTGGAGTGCATCGTTACACTATCTTAGGAATACGTTATTACACTATATGTATGGGCATCATTGCATCAGATTTAGGGCTCATCATTTCATCGTATGTAGGGTGCATTGTTGTACCATATTTGAAGTGTATTATTACACCGTCTTCACAATGCATCGTTGCACGTTATACTGATGACTTATTGCTCTACTTGTTGCTTAATTGATTTTTGTATAGGTACATTGTAATGACATCTATAGACTGCAGGGATAGGAGTTAGAATTTTCACGAGCTACGAATCATTAGAGGCTATGGTCGAGAATTGCATGAGCAGGTCTTAGTGGTTAGATGTGAGAAAGAATCTCAAAAGTTTGGAGAAGCTCATTATTTTTTTAGTACGACATTGATAGGTCGTTGTTGTGGGGTGCATTGTTGCACTGTATTCAGGAAATATTATTACACCATTTTTCAGGATGCATCGTTACACCATCTTCAAGATGGGTGGTTGCACCGTATGAGGGATATATCGTTGCACTGTATTCAAGGTGTGTTTTTGCACTATATATAGAGTGTGTCGTTGTACTGTATGCATGATATGTTATTACGCTGTCATTGGAGTGCATCGTTACACTATCTTAGGAATACGTTATTACACTATATGTATGGGCATCATTGCATCAGATTTAGGGATCATCATTTCATCGTATGTAATAATTGACCCATAGTGAGCAGTGCATTTTAATTTTTTGAACTGATCTGTAACACTTTACGACTTCTGTTTTATCTATTATTTTCACTATACAGTTCTGTTGCAAATAACTTCACCAAACAGAGACATAATTGTCATTTATCCCGCTACAACTGTCAATAAGTTGTTCTGAATAAGCTCTCATAAACAACAAGTCAGCTTATCCTGATAATCTGTAGATTATCAGATTATTAGGATAATCTGTTTATCAACAAATTATAAATAATCTACAGCTGCCCCAAACAGACTCTAAGTAAGGAATTCAAACTTCTCTGATTAGGACGTTCCATTGATCAAATAGTCTGGTGAATATTTAAGGGATTTATTAATGTTGAGTGATCTTGAGCTTGTTGGATTCATCTTGTAGAGATGCTTGATTTGGCTATAAGCATGTCAGAATTGGAATTCATGTGGAATTTAATTATGCATTGAATGTTTCTAAAAGTATTTCAATGGCTTGATCTAAGCTTGATTTGACTCTGATTAGATCAATTTTAATGTCATTGGATTCATATCTTTGAAATGGTCAGCTTGGCTTTAAGTATGTTTAAATCAGAATTATGGATGAATTTTAATTGAAGTTTTAAGCATTTATTGCTAAAAAAATTGACTCAAAATTAGTGTTATCTCTCAATATTTGTGTCGAATGATGAAAATTTTTTGATGGCGCATAAGAGTCCCCCTATTTTTAGGCAAGACCAGTTTTGTTGGCCTAAAATACCAGAGATCTGAATATTTGATTTATGACACAGTCGAGTCTTAAGCGAGCCAAGTATGAGTTGTTCATCAAAAGCATTGGTTCATTTACAACCCTAATTGAAATATTTAAAAAAAAATTAACTTATAAGACATTTTGTTATGTAAATTTAAGTGTTACATATATGAGATATTGAATATACGCCGACTTTATTGAAATATTAAAAAAAAAGTTAACTTTTAAGACATTTAAGTTATAATTAATATATTTTAAAAAACTTCAATTTCATGAGAACATTTAATTCCTCTTATTAGAAGAACTTATATTCTAAAAGACTTGATGTATGACCAAAATTCATATTTGAAAGTTAAGGGTGGAGATAAGGCTGTAATTGAGCCGAGTCGAGTCTAGTATATCACAGTTCGGACTTGGCATTGTATAATTATAAGTTGATATTTCACTTGACCTTGTGTCGAGCTTTCATATATTGTTAAAGCTCGACTTGTTTTTTTTTTCAAAGTTTGAACTTGATTTGTACCTGAGTTATTTATGACAAGTTAACGAGTACTTAAGCGAGCTGATAAACGAGTATCTAGATTTTAATATAAAAAATTAATAAATAATTTTAAAAATCTGATTGCACCTACTAATTTTTCAATTATAAACTCTGTCTCTCATATTTTAGCACGATAATATTTTTCAAGTTTGCACCCAATACTCACATTTAGTTGCAAGTGTTAGTTTTCTCATAATGATATACACTTGTCATTTTTCTAACTTTTTTGGACAATTTTATAGATGTTTTATATTGATTTGCAACACCATCTTTATTCTTAATCATATATAACTTACAATGATAGTGCTACACTTTCTCAACACCACTTTGTAATCGGATAATTTTTATAACCAAAGGGTTGAATGGGTAAAAGAGTAAATTTTGGAATTTAAGACTTAATTAGTATTTAGGCTTAACCAAATGATTGAATGGGTAATAAATGATCTTAAATAATATGTCTTATTGATTGAAACATAAAAGGGATAAGTGGTAGTAACTAATCTCATTTTGATCTTATAAAGGATAAATGTGTAATTTTTAAAAATTAATGAAATTTGGAATAATATTTAAATAAGGAGATATTAAGGTGAGGGGTTTCGATTTTGGAAGATCACAACTCACTGATTTTAAAGCCACATTGAAGCCTCAACTAATGGTTTTGAGATGATTTATAGTTCATGATAAGGATTAAGAATATAAATATTGAAAACTTTTTTTCTTAAAATTACAAATCTAACCATTAAATCTTAAGGACTTAGTAGTGAACTAGGCTTAATCAAAATTTTGTTTAATAAGGTTTAGAAAAGAACTTATAATTAATTTAAAACCTTTCAAAACACTACAAGTTCATTCTCTAAAAATCAAATTAATTCAATTCCTTAATTAAGTCAAGTTGCTCCCAAGGGTTTTTACCTATATAATTCAAAAGTAAGATATCAAGTGATAATTACCTCACTTAAGAGATAATCAAAATATCATAATTCACTGAGCATGAGGGTATGAACTGGGAGGGTATGAACTGGAACTGGATGAACTATATAGCAAACACAATAAGACCAAAACGAACTCAAGATAATTTCAGGGACTATGAAATGTCTAGGGTATTACCTGAGACTTCTTCATGATCCTTTGGAAATCTTGAAGAACATCTAGACTTATTATGATTTGCTTAATAGAATCATTCTCAAAATTTGGGCCCACCAAGATATGACATAGGATCTGGTTGACACCTCAAACTATATTCTCTACTTTTATTATAAGCATGCTTTAATTCCTGCAAAAATTATATAGTTTACAGTATCTTTTTTTCATGTACTTTCTATATTGTACTTTTATGCTTATAAACTTGCATGTTAAACAACACTGTCACCCTGCATGTCAAAACTGAAACCTTTAAGATAGCTACAAAACTAAAACTGAAACCAAAACCAAATTTAAAATCGAACAAGATAAAAATTCACCGCCACAATATTCAAAATATAAGGCAACTCAAAATTTAATAACAAACAAAACAACAATTGCAACTAAATCAAAACGTTTCTATCAGATGATCGGAAATCCCTCGGAGGAAGTAACCTACGGTTGCTAACGAGATTTCCCACTATCTAAATGAAAGTATGGAACTCATTGAGTTGAGTTTAGTGAATTCATTTGGACTAAGTGAATCTGAAAGAAAATAGTGGTGTCGGAATTAGGGAATTGTGAGATCCTAACCAATGTCGCTCTAATCAATTTTGATATCCCCCATAATATTTAAATAACCATAACCATAGGAAGTATTTGATTTGATATCATGACTTCACACATTAGAAAACTTAAATTTGCTACAACAAGGAGCTTGGAGCTAGCATCGTGGGCAGCATGGTCATCTTCAACAGCAAAACATGTCTTCATCAGCTAAATCATTCCTTAGAATTAAACATCAATCCATAGGACTTCGAGATTTTTTGCTTATGTAACATAAATCCTCAACTTATCTTTAAGTCTTTGTATAGCTCTGTTATAGAATTTAAGCCCTAACTCGTCCTAGGATTCCGAGGTTGTTGTTCGGCACGACCTAAATTCTCATCTTCAAGGCTATTTGTGTGATCGTTTCACACGAATGTAAGCCTTAATTAATAAAATTGACAGGATAAAAACACTTAAATAACCTCTCGCTTTAATTAATAAAATAAATTATCCTAAATCCTATTGGTCAATAATCACCATGATGGATAGTGATTTATAATAAATAATTAAGAGAAAGATTGTGTCTCTTTCCAAGAGACTTATCTTTTCTTTTATAAATAAGAAAAGGGTCATCTCTCTCCTAAAAAGTAATGTATATTTCTCTCTATCAGAAAGTACCGAAATAAATAAAGATTAGAGTGAGAAATTTCATCCCTTCAATGGAATTCTACAATCATGAATACATGTGTGTATATCTCATTTATGGGTATGTGAAAATCATAAATTCTGAGATCTTTGTTGTCATTATAAATTTTATGAATTTTGACTCATAAAATTAGATTTTATAAATTTAAAAATCCTAACGCACAATTTATAGTTTATTTAAAAATAATCCACATATCATAAATTTTAAATGCGCTCAAAATAAATTATCAGTTACTTTTTTAATTAGATTGTTTTTTCAACAAATCAAATATCTAAAAATGTATCTATTCTTCAGGATATGTGCATTGCTTGCAGTGATATGCTCGTTTATTTAAACTACTAGGGATATGAGATCAGTTTGGTCTTGTATTTTCAAATTTTAAAATACTATTTTTTCCAAATTATATATATTAAATTAAATTAAAACGGGTGTTAGGATATAAATTAAAACGGGTGTTGAGATATCCATCCTAGTACAAACAACTTCACAACCCCTCAACTTTTTACTGTCGATAGTTGTGCACTATTAAGTATTACGTGGGCTAAATGAGAGAATATTAGTTTTTCGTTATTTTATTTGTGTGGTCTACTATCATTTATTTTAATAGTAATTAATTAACTAAAAAAAGTTACATCTCTTCCCAATAGACTCCGTATCCTTTCGTTTTAATTAATAAAATAAATTATCCTAAATCCTATTGGTCAATAATCACCATGATGGATGGTGATTTATAATAAATAATTAAGAGAAAAGATTGTGTCTCTTTCCAAGAGACTTATCTTTTCTTTTATAAATAAGAGAAGGGTCATCTCTCTCCTTAAAAAAATAATGTATATTTCTCTCGATCAGAAAGTACCGAAAGTAATAAGGATTAAAATGAGAAATTTCATCTTTTCAATCGAATTCTACAATCATGAATACATATATGTATATCTCATTTATGGGTATATGAAAATCATAAATTCTAAGATCTTTGTCATTATGAATTTTATGAATTTTGACTCGTGAAATTAAGTTTTATAAATTTAAAAATCCTAACACACAATTGATAGTTTATTTAAAAATAATCCACATATCATAAATTAAAAACACTTAAATAACCTCTCCGAAATCAAAGTCAAACAGTAAGATAGCTTAGAAAGTTACTGATGTTCTCTTCAAGATCTGTGACTTCCCCTAGTTTTTCTTTCTTTGTATTCCAAAATAAAATTTTTCAAATTTGAGTCATTCCCCTTTCACACCTCTTTATCCGATCTCTTCAAAAAGTCTTATCCTTTGAAATTCTTGAAGACAATATCCCCTAATTTTTATCGAGAATTTTCTTAGGTGACTCTGGTTATCTAAGATGTAATTAACTATAGGGGTTTGCCCATATAGGAAGCTTTTCCGAACCTAGCTTAATATAAACCCTATTTAATTATTCGTATTAAATAGGAAAATTTTTCGGTCAACATAAAAATGGTTTCACAGACTTAAACGAATGTCATACAATCTTTAGTTTATTTAATTGAGCTTTCACTAGTAAGTAATGTATCTATTCTTCAGGATATGTGCATTGCTTGCAGTGATATGCTCGTTTATTTAAACTACTAGGGATATGAGATCAGTTTGGTCTTGTATTTTCAAATTTTAAAATACTACCTTTTTCAAACTTAACATACTACCTTTCCAAAATCAAATTTATTTATATGTATTAAATTACATCTAAAACTTATTTTTTGAAACCACAAAATAAACCCTGATCGACATTCCCCAGCCGACATATTTTGGGGACTCCACTAGGGACTAGTTCTTCTCTCCTTTAATGACTAGATGGTCTTGCAGTCATAAATCGGTAGCATTCCCATGCCCTTCATGGATAAGCTGACATTCTTCTATTGGCTTACCTCGCTCATTTCTACCTTGAGCAGGTAAGTACAACTTTTCTTGGATTCTGGAGCCACTGCTTAGACACCCCTAAATAGAGGGGTTATGGGATCCTCCCACCACCCAAAATTGAGGTGGACTCCCAATAGGTATTATCCTAGGAGCGGATCTATCGAGACGAGTTCGGTGCAAAGTCTACCCTTCCCCTTCGATTCACATTGGGTCATTCGCTTTTTCTTCCCCATGACTAAATTATTTTTAACAAAGTATGCCACTAAAAAAAAAAAAAAAAAGTGACACTCTGTTTTTGGTGCTCGACGCCACTTTCTATGTTCAATCAGTTGCATTTTTGGTGCTCTGCACCAGACTTTCCGCATAAAGCGAGGCGTTGCATTGGCTTCTTCATATCGCTAGTGCCAATTCCTCGCTCGAGGATCCTTCAAACACCAAAGTGAAGTTGCAACATGGAAGGAAAAATAATCTCAGTGGGGCCATGGGGTTTAGAGGAAGGAATTCCCTTTTGTCAGATGTATGATGGCATACTCCGAAAGATTGTATTGATCTATGATGGGGGTTTCAAGGCCCTTACTGCGAAGTATTCAACATCAAACACTCATGAATGTTGTGGTTCTAATGAACTCTCAAGGGTATGTTAATGTCTTATTTTTATTTTGGCTCTTGCAGAGAAGTGAGTTTGAACAAGCAGAGATTTTTAACTTATTGCATGTCTGTATTTATTAACAGAAACTACAGAAAATGCTCGTTGAATCTCCTAACTCTTCAAATATTATAAAGAATGCTGATTTTAGAGAAGGAATGAATTTCTGGAGGAGGAGCTGTACTTGCTGTCAAGCCGAAGTTGTTTCTTCAGGCGATGATAACTATGCTATTGTGAGCAGTCGACGAGCTTTTTGGCATAGCATAGAGCAGGATATAACCGAACAAGTCTATGTGGGTTCCATATATGAAGTTTCAGCCGAGGTCTCAGTTAAGGGCGGTGGCGGTAAGATATTTCCGATGGGTGCTGCTCTTAAGATCGAGAACTTGGACGCTAGCTTTTATTTTGTTCTCATTGGAAGGTATTAGTAGTTCACGGATGTTTCATCATAATCGTAATGTTCTATTTTCAGTACTTTGTCGCTGACAACTAAATCATTTTTAATTTTGCTTGTTTAGATTTACTAGTTGTATCAAATTAACTAAAGTGTATTAATAGTGATTATTTAGTTTTTTAGCATTACACGAGAATCAAGCAAGTACAATTGATTGTCGGAAGGTCCGCCACAAGATATTGATTATTTAATGTTTTTGGATTGCACAAAAATTCAAGACATACTTAGGTAGTTAAAGAGAAGCACGGAAATACACTTCAATTTATACGTGAAAAACTCTAAAAATAGGAAAATCACGGGGCGTCACAGTTAAAATAATTAACTATGTAATTATGAGGACATGAGTCTACTCTTCTAATGAGTTAGAGAGTATGTAATTACAAAATTGATATATAGGGGTAGTTCAACTATAATAGCTATAATTGACCACTAAGATCATGATCGATGACTATGGAAACAAAAGTCTGCCACAAATACTATATATAGTGATTGTGACGTCAACTTGTCGTAGTTGCAACTGTTAAATGTCGCGGCAATAGTTGACTATGTTGATCATAAATGGTTGCTTTAGAAGCGTCGATTGACAATAGATGTTGTAAAGAGTTGCAAGAGTCGTGATTAGGGTTGTAATCAAGTCGAGTCGATTTGAATATATCATATTTTGGACTTGGCCTTGTACACTTATAAAGTTGTTTATGTTTAGCTTGAGCTTATGTCGAGTTTTCATATATTGTTCAAGCTTGACTTGGTTAAAATTTTAAATGTTTGAAATTGATTTGTACTTGATTTGTTTATGACAAGCAAACAAGTAGTTAAAAGAACTAATAGCTAAAAATTCAAACGAGCATCTAGATTTTCATATAAAAAATTAATAAAGAATTTTATAAATTTGATCGGAGCTATTAATTTATTGCTTATGAACTTTAAACCCTAAATTTCTTATATCTCATCTCCTCCATTGTCAAATCTCTCACTTAGGGGCTGTTTAATGAAATAATTTGTACTGCAATTAAGCTACATCATTGTCAAATCCTTCCGAGTGATACATCCCTCATACAACTGTCTTCTCCTCTATTGTCATTTTATATCTCATCTCCTCCATTGTCATTTTATAAGCTACATCATTGTCAAATCTCATCTCCTCCATTGTCAAATCCTTCCGAACAATTAAAAATTATGACAACTTTAAAACCTACATCAACTTAATATCGAGTATTTATATATCATATATGATATAATCTATCAACGAGCTATCAACAAATGAGTTGACGATTTAGTTATTTAAATTTCATGTAATAATATATCATATATGATACACGTTATCATCAAGCTTAATATTGAGTATTTAACAAGTTAATTATTAAACTACAAACGAGTTTGTTCGTGAACATAAAGAACAAGTTTGATTATATTCATGTTTAGTTCATTTAAGCTTCAAGATTATAAAATTGTATTCAAGCTTGTTTATTTATTAATTTGAATGAACAAACAAGACTCAACCGAGCCGAGTTCCGGTTGTTCATGGAGTGCCTTGGTTTATTTACAACCCTAGTCGTGAGCCATGTAGGGCGTAGTGTCAAATTACAATGAAGTTTGTGGGCCACAAAAGCCAGATTTGGGAGCCACATGAGCTGGGGAACATATAGATCATAGTGGTGAGTTACTATGACACTCATTTGCCGTAAGAGACGGAGCAGGGAGCCGCTCGAGCTATGAGCCACGTATGCCTTAGTTGGTCACGTAGGTTGTATAGGTACGTTGTAAAGACATATATAGGTTGCAGGGGTAGGAGTCAGAATTTGCATGAACCATGAATCAATAGAGGCTATAGCCGAGAACTGCATGAGCAGATCTTAGTGGTTAGATGTGAGAGAGAATCTCAAAAGTTTGGAGAAGCTCGTTATATTCTGAGTAAGACAGTTATAAGTCGTTGTTGCACGATATTCAAGAAGAATTATTACACTATTGTCAGGATGCATTGTTACACCAGGGGTGCGTTGTTGCACGATATTCAAGAAGCATTATTACACTATTGTCAGGATGCATTGTTACACCATCTTTAATATGTGTCGTTGAACTGTATGAGAGATATATCATTGCACTGTATTCGAGGTGTGTTGTTACACTATATGTAGTGCGTCGTTGTGATGTATGCAGAGCATATTATTACACCGTCATTGGAGTGCATCATTACACTGTCTTATGGATGTTATTACTTTGTATGTGGGGGCATAATTGGACCTATGTAATGTTCTTCATTGTACCGTATGTGGGGTGCATTGTTGTACCATATTTGGGGTGTGTTATTACACTGTCCTTGGGATGCGTCGTTGCATGTTGTACTAGACGACATATTGCTCTATTGGTTGCTTAACTGTTATGTAATGTTTGTCGGGGTTCTACAACACATGTTGTGACTCTGCAAGGGATTTCATCGCAAGGAACATATGATAGTCGAGGGTGATAGTTAGCAACCTACAATCGTTAGTTGACGATATTCGACGACTAAAAATGCGAGAGGCGTTTGTCTGATATTTGGTGTAGAAATGACCAAATATCAGACATTTGACATGGGGTCGTTGCACTGTATGAGGGATATATTATTGTACTGTATTTGAGGTGTGTTGTTGCACTATATGTAGAGTGTGTCGTTGTGCTGTATGCAGGGCATGTTATTACACCGTCATTGGAGTGCATCGTTACAATGTCTTAGGGATATGTCATTACACTGTATGTGGGGGTATAATTGGACCGTTTGTAATGCTCATCATTGCACCGTATGTGGGATGCATCGTTGTACCATATTTGGGACTTGTTTTTACACTGTCTTCGGGATGCATCGTTGCATGTTGTACTAGACGACATATTGCTCTACTCGTTGCTTAACTGTTATGCAATGTTTTTCGGGATTCTGCAACACATGTTGTGACTCTGCAAGGGATTTCATCGTAAGGAACATATAACAGTCGATGGTGATAGGTAGCAACCGATAAGCGATGGTTGACGATATTAGACGACTACAAATGTGAGAAAATTTGTCTGATCTTCTGTGCAGAATTGATACTGTGCTTTCGCTCCTCCTGACCTTCAAACTCATGCCTTGGTTCATTCTCATGAGGGGTGAGAGCTCTATTTATATCGTCTGAGCTGTAAATAAGGAAGGAATTCGGGCCAATCTGATCGGGAGGCTCCATCAATCAGACGGTTTGGTGAATATTTAAGTGACTTGATAATGTTGAGTGATCTGGAGCTCATGGGATTCATCCTGTAGAGATGTTTGATTTGACTATAAACATGTCAGATTTGGAATTCATGGATAGTTAAATTTTGCATTGAAAGTGTCTAAATGTATTTCAATGACTTGATCTGAGCTTGATTTGACTCGGATTGAATCAATTTTGGTGTCATTGGATCTATCTCTTTGAACCGGTCAGTTTGACTGTATGTTTAAATTAGAGTTCTGGATGAATTTTAATTGAAGTATAAACATTTCTTGCTAAAAAAATGACTCGAAATTCATGTCATCCCTCTAGAATTGTGTCGAATGATAGAAACTTTTTGATGCGTATGAGAGTCCTCCTATTTTTAGGCAAGACTAGTTTTGTTAGCCAAAAATACCAGAGATCTGAATATCTGAGTTAAAACACAATCAAGTCTTAATCGAACTGAGTTTGAGTTGTTCATCGAATGCATTGGTTTCTTTTACAACCCTAATTGAAACTTAAAAAAAAAAAGACTTATAAGAAATTTAGTTATATAAATTTAAGTTATATATATATGAGCTATTGAATATACGCGGACTCTATTGAAACTTTAAAAAACATGTAGACTTTTAAAGACATTGAAGTTATAATTAATATATTTTAAAAAACTTCAATTTTATTAGAAAATTTAATTCCACTTCTTAGAAAAAACTTCTATTCTAAAAGATTTGATATATGTCTAAAATTCATATTTGAAAGCTAAGGGTGAAGATAAGGTTGTAATCGAGCCGAGTAGAGTCGAATATATCATAGTTCAGACCTGACTTGGTATAATTATACGTTGTTCATATTTTGTTTGAGCATGTGTCGAGCTTTCATATATTGTTCATGCTCGACTTGTTTAAGTTTTTCAATGTTTTAACTTGATTTATTTATGACAAGTGAACAAATATTTAAACGAGGTAAACGAGTATCTAGATTTTCATATAAAAAATTAATAAATAATTTTACAAATCTGTTTGCACCTACTAATTTATCAATTATAAACTCTGTAGAATGAAAGGTAACTTATGAATCTTGATTATATGAGATGCAATCTCTCATATTTTAGCAAGGTAATATTTTCAAGTTTGTACCCAATACCCACATTCAATTGTAGGTGTTGGTTTTCTCATAATGATATTGACTTGTCCTTTTTCTAACTTTGTGGATAATTTTATAGATGTTTTATATTGATTTGCAACACCACACTTATTTTTAATCATATATAACTTGCAATCATGGTGCTGCACTTTCTCAACACCAATTTTTAGTCGTGTAATTTTTATGAGCAAAGTGGAAATGAGAGATATACGAGAGATAAGATAAAGTTTTAGAGATTCTTGTAAACTATAATCTCATTGTTGCCTTCGAAGCTTCCACACTTTAGCAACTCAGGGTTTCGTATGTTTTAGATGAAACAGAGAGATGTGAAACTGTAAGTGACCAGAGGGAAAGTGAAGTTTGTAGGGGTTTAAAGTTTATTTTAAGCGACATTTCATACATATCACATTAGTCTACTGTATTTTCACATATAACACCTAAACTTTAACGAAATAAATATATAATATATAGTTATATATTAATATAATAAATATATAATTAAATAAATTCGAGTTAATTAAATTTTATTTAATTGATATATAATAGATGATACGGGTTATCATCGAGATTAATATCGAGTATTTAATAAGTTACTTTTTTGAGCAACAAACGAGTTTGTTC